CTCGCCATGCTCCGCCACGCCACGCCACGCCACGCCACGCCACGCCACGCCACGCCGCGCCGCACCAGGCCGTGCCACTCGCCACGACACAGCCGTTGCACGCCCGCACTCCTCACAGTACGTGCTGAGATATTGTTCACCAACTTAAACATGATACTCAGGGAGGGGGTTACGGCGCGGAGGCGAAATGGGTGGGGAGAATTGACTCGGTTGACTGACTGCGTCGTTGGTACGCTACGCATGAGGAGCCGGTTGATATCCAAGTTTCTGGGATTTTTAATGCTTGGAAAATAAACTGTAACGAAATTCAATCTTAAGAATGCCATTGTTACTGGATCTAGTGTTGAGGAAAAGCCAACATTTCTTTTTGAAAATATCTGTAGCTTCTTTACTTTCCATACAGCGATATCTAGGGTCTGTCATGGTCACAATGGAATGCCTGATCTAACTTTCTGGGACGCACGACGGTGATCGTAGTTTGACAAATGTAGTGATAAATTTCTTCCACCAGAGAAAAGCGGGAAAAGTCTTTATTTTTTCAAAATTATATAAAGGTAATTTTTTTTTAAATTATTTGTGGATATTAGATCTTTATTCTTGACACATTATTCTTGATACAAAAAGACGTACACTCACATTGTCCAAGTACAAAGCATTACAGTTCATGTCAAAATGTTTTCCAAATTATGTAGTACTGAATGTGTTAATACTCAGTCAGTATGTTAGAGTAAATGCCTAAAATACTGACAGGAGAAAAACTCTTAATTATTTAAATTCTGTAAATTTGGAAGAAGATTCGTAATTTGTACTATGCCTAGTTCATTAATTAATTTTGAAAATTTAGTTGTCATGAATAACGAATATCTAGGGTTTATATCAGTCATGGCTAGGCTTAGATTAAAGTGTATTTTTTTAAAAATTCTAAACAGGCCTAATGTATTTACCAGTGGTACACCACATCTCATTAAGAAACTCGAACTTAAGAAACATTAAGAAAGTCGTTTCAAACGAAAATACGCAAGTTGAAGTGCAAAAGACCCCTCCACCCAGACAACCGTCAAGATGTGCGTCTGAAACTATTGAGTGGCAATAGAATACGTGAAACAAACGCAACGTACCAGAGTATACACGCGTGCGGCGCAACTGTCCAGATTCCACGCGGGCGGGCGGAGAAACGCAGCGCGCCGCGCAGCCGTCGCTGGGCCGGGGCGCCGCGGAACCAGTCCACTCGCGCGCAATTACGCGTCGCGGGCGGCGAAGCGAGAGAAAAAAAAATAGACGGCCGCGACGGCGTCCTCCGGGGCGGAGGCGGAGTAGAACGATGATCGCGATGATCAGCGGGATAACGACGGCCGGCCGGCCGGCCGGCAGGCCAGCGCGGCCTAATTGTCCCTCCGCGCAACCTCACCCGGCGTCGACGCCGCAGCCGCACACATCTCTCTCGCTTGCCTCTGCCGCGGCACCTGCCGGCGACGGGGAGGGGCGGGAGACGACTCGCTCGCGATGAGTGAACCTACTTTGCTTTTCAATTTAATGGTCCGACCAATGGCCCAGCCATGTTGAGTTCGCTAATTACAGGGAACACGGACATGACGTATGAAAAATGAAACAGCATATACCGGTACTTCTGTTTTGTTTGAGGAGGGCGTTACCCAGTGAACTTTTTTGGGTTTCTCTTGCGTGAGGTTGACATCAGTTTACAGACGTCAAAATAATAAAAAGCACCCTTGTATAACCTTCGTAGCAGTTTTGAATGAAAAGTGGGAAAATTTTGCTCTCATGTACTCTACAAAATGATGAAAATTTTAATTCTCGGCATGTGGTGGTACTGCTCAACTACACACGAACCCATACGCCGACTAAAAGAGTGTTTATTGATGCGAGATTGAGTAATCATTACATTATTCAGTAGTAAATAAAACTTTCTGACCGTCACATACAGTTCGAGAAGTCTCAGGGCCCAATGTGGCTACTTAATGCATGATATGCTATTCCTTTGGAATATTCAATTATTACAAAAGCATGATTTCACACTTCAATGCAGAATTATCTCAAAGTCATTAGAAGGTGAACAAATAAGGCATGAATTTAATGTCAGTAGCACTCTTAGTAAGAAAGACCATGGTAGCAATGAATTCCGCCGCAAATCTGTATATAATGTTTCCTTATACATTCACGATATTATTAAAATTATCTACCGTACATCACTGGCCAAGTGCAGGCAACGCTTTGATACAGGATGAAATTCGTGTTCAACTTGGCAACAATCGGTGCCAGCCTGTCTTCCCTGATATTTCGGGGAAGCACCCATTAATACTTCCAAGCCGCCTCGAGGAGAACATTCACATTTGAACTTGGAGAATTGGGTCAGCGCGCGGGGGCATAAGCTTTTTTGCGGTAGTTTCTTACGTTAGTATTTCCAGGTGGTCGCTCCACGACGTAAACACCAGAGCGTCACGTGTCGCCACGCGTGTTGAAAACTCCGCCAGCCGCGTCAACGTGAGATTTCCTTAAAGCATTAAAGCCGTTGTAAGTAAATTAGAGTGGTCTATTTTGATATCCATCAGCATAAAAAGAGCAAAGATATAGGCATTATGTTTAACTTAGAAGAGAAAATACGTGACTAGGGAGACGAAGGGAAGGGTGTAAAATACTACGATAGTGTAAATGATTAACGACTTATGAATAATTAAGTGAACATACATTATTCGTAACAAAAGTTCACCAAATGAAAAGCAAATGTCACGACGAAGGCTACTTTGACCCCACGATGAAGAAATGTTGACATTTTGTCTGTAAAAAAATATTTATTGTGCCATTTACGTATAGTGCATTGATTAAAACTTAAATATTTGCATAATTTTATTTACATTTAGTCATCCAATTATCGTATTATACATTTCGGTCATATTTAATATTTAAAATTCGCACCTCGACATTTAGCCAACGCGCATTGCGACATCGTGTAACTTCACATTCAAAATATGTGTTGGATACATAAGATGACAAAGGAAAAAATTTATATTTGAAGCTCTGTTAGGGTTCTTGTGTGCTCCGGATCGTCAAATGAGTAATGAATGGTGTTGATACACTTGTTTGACTTTCGAATACGAAATTATTTACGGCGCCAAATATCCTTGGCCCCTGCGATTTCGAATATCCTCTTGGGAGTTTTCATTATTAAACAATCCTTAACGCTTTTAAATATCAACATGGATTAATTTCAACATTATTAATTTTTAATTTCGCCACCGTCGCATCTGCCCAGGAATGACCGTCCATCACCTGCCTCGAAGGATTCTTTGCCTCCAGATCAATTACTCTTGTGCCTCGTAAAGTATAGATCAAAGAAACGACACAAACGACAGCGATGTTATTTGCTTACCGTTGACTTCGTATTTGTAGCTGGCTTATGTTCCTGTCGCAAGGGTTGTCATGCATCTTGCAGTGCACATGACGAACGACAGCGTAAAACAGCACCGACATCTTGTGTAGCACTATGCATGCACGTGAACGAAATGGTCAATATACGCTGCACACATGCTGCGGATGCAGCTGCGACAGACGAGAGTCCTGGGCTCACTTTGAGTACGGGGCCGATGGAAAAAGATAGCGATGAGTAAGCCGAGAATTTTCAGGTTCTAAAAGAAAGGAATTAAAAAATTAATACAAACAAGTACTTTCGATTCATGTTAGCTTTCTAAAGGTTTTTAATTTTTTTTTCTTCAAACAAAATTAAAATTGGCCTAATACTTTACTACTAATTCACTGTAAATTTATGGCAATTCCTGCAAATAATTCATTAATATTTTCAAAATGAAACAACATCAAAATATTTCCATTTTGCACAGTAAATCTTTTACATTGCGTTAAAATGCGCTACAAAGTGGGAAAATGCCCTACGCATTATATGAACCGGAACAGGAGAGTCAAAGGGAAATTGAAGTAATTTCCTCCATAAAAATGTATTCCTTATCAGTGCTCCCCACGATGTGGTACAAAATATGGCCATTACCTTGGACCCATGACCACGTTAATTAGGAAGTGATTGTGAGGTAAAATTCCTCCAAAGATGTATGTGGGAATGTAAGGTCAGTTTTTAATGAAACGACATTATTAATGCGGAAGATAACTTTTATTTACACAACCATATGGATTTCCAGAAGATTTCATCGGTCACCACGCAACTTTGTCTGCAATTTTGTTACGATCATGAAGATTCGATTTACAAATACGCCAGATGCATTCTATTATAAAATCTCAGTGCATGCACTGCATTTTACCATCATTGCTACATTATATTACCAGAGTTTCAGTCACAATTAGCCAATTTAGAATTCTTACTTTCTAAGAAGAAAATATGGGCTTTTTTAGGCCTCATAGTACGATTGACATATCATTAAGTTCTAGACAATTTGCATTTGTAATAAATAAGTAATATGTAATAAGCGTGTAGTAAAAAAATAATAAAAGACATTGATATTTTGCATGAATGTTTTGTGGCATTATACGATCAGAATAGGTTCGAATACAAAAATCCGAGATTTAGCTATGAGGGGTTGAGACAGCGACGACAACGGCTCGAAAGAGGCCACCCACAGGACGATGAGTCAGCGTCTGCATGCAACTATTAGCGTCTAAGGTTTCGGGAGGTTTGGGGGATATACATCCTGTGGGGTCGAAACTCTGTAACATAATTGAGCGGGTAAGCTAATAGCATGACAATCGTTCATATAGATATCTCGACAGTCGTTTGATTGTGACATGGATGGTAATAGTTGTTAAGACAAACATTTAAGTTTGCTGAACATATGGCACATGTTCGTTTAGTCTATTTAAATAGTTTCAAACTTTTGGTTGATGAAGGAACCAAGATCACATCAAATATCAAAAATATACAGTAAGCACATTTCAATCTCTTATTCGAACTTTTTTTACATAATGCATGCTCAACGATTCCCTTAACAATACTTTCCAAATTCATTACACTATTTCAAGCATATTTTTTCAACATGCATTAGCAAGTATTCCTGGCAATTGAGAGACAAAACGTGCGTGTAGTAGTTTGGGGATGATGCAAGAATTTTTGTTGTGGCGACGATTCCTCCTTTTTTTAATTTTTGAAAATGTAACTATAAAAAAAATCATATTAGCGACAAAATTGTCTGAAATTAAATTGTACTTCCATATCATTTTCCTTTATAACTTTTTTCGAAATTACATACTCTCTCGAAATAGTTCAGAGGACAACTCATGAAACTGTGATTCTGCCCCTATTGCTAAATTGCATCATCCCATAATTTTGATCGCGAATCTTCTTCTAGTTAAAACTAAAGTATTTTAATTATAAGGAAATTATTTGGAAATAAATGCATATTGAAGACATTCTGAAATATTCTAAGCATTTTCCTCAGTTATGAATTATCTTCTCCGCGAAAGACGAGAAGTACTTAGAAGACGATGTCTGGCTGACGAACGAACACCTTGGAAGAGTCTGTCGAGTGACGTGACGCCACCTGGTGTAGGAGTTGCTGCATTCCGCTGAGTAATCCCCTGACATCCGCACGCTCCGCCATGCCCGCCCGCCAGCCAGCCGTGTGTTCACTATCATACATCTAATTTTTTAACATTCCCAACACACTTCTTGCTCTTTTGGTTCGACCCAACCACGCGACACGTTATCCATCGCTTCTCCGTCGAGAATGTTCTTCTCATAATTACAGAATTCACAATTAGAATTAAACGTAATGAAACGATTGAAACACCTACAAATGTTTGTATTCCATATAATTGTCTCTAGGTTTTCTCGAATTTCTAGAAACGGACCTTCGCTCTATTGTGTAATTTCATGTCAATATTTCGCGATTTACATCAATTTTGAGTCGTTAATAACCCTATGCACAAACACAATTTAATAACTACTGGATCCCTCCGTTGCTCATCCCCGTACTCACCTTTTCAACCGCACCCTCTTCCCGGTCGGCTCTCGCAGTGTCACGCCCCTTCCTGCTCTGCTCCGCCTTCCCACCCCGGCAACGCCCTCTTCTCCCCTGCCCAAGCCCCACCCGCGCCCCCGCCCCCGCTCCTGGCGCTAATTGCCACTGGCCGACGCGCTATTCGCGCAAAAACCGGGCATTAGCTTATTAATTATGCAAAACGGAGCCACTCGGCAGGCAGCCCTCCGCTCCTAATGATCTTGTAGTTAGCTGCCCACGATATTGATAATAAAGTCACTATATGCTAATAGCCAGCGTGTTGCGTGGCGCCGTATGTGGGAGCTTAATTGTCAATCAGATACGACGCTAATCGTCTCCCGCAAGAAGAAGATGCAGGGGGAGAAGTGGCCTCCTGGGATTTTAACATAATGTGCGAGTGTTCGGGGAGGTGGAGGTGCTATACTTCCTGGACAGATCTGTGACTGGGCAACGTAATGCAGCTAGTTCAAGACTTCCACACCAGGAAAATTACATGTAGCGTACAACTTGCTTCCTGAGGCTTCAATATTCTTAAGAACTTGCCTCTTCAATTATTATTTGCACACGTTAAGAAATCTTTAACATGTTTACATTTTTAACCAGATTACTGAAAATGTTTTCTTGCTTTGCAACAATTCCAACAGCCAGAACAAAAACTAATATAATACTGTTTGGAAACTATTTCTACAGAAATTAGCATGATTAAACAAAGTATACATGTATTTATTTTCATGTAATTGTAGATGTTTCATCAGCAAATAAGTCTGGTCGTAATCTTCAAGAAATAATTACTTTTTCAAAGAAATTATTGGAAATGAAATAATCGATGAATATCGAATCATTCGTTTTGAAACAACTAAATATTAACAGAATAAGAGCACTAGCAGTGTTATGTCATAATAATTAGTCATTTGGAGTGCAAAGAAGCACTCTATTCAGAATATCGTAAGATTAATTTAAAATATGGGAAGTATTGCTAAAGTTGTAACTATTTCTGTTCATGATCAAAGCGGGTTTAAACATTGTCGAAGTAGAAACAAAACAAGGAATCGTACGACTATAAGACAAAAAAAAATAGAAAGGTAATTTAAGTAGGTATTTCCTCTTGTAATTCTGTCACTGTAATGAATCATTTCTAGGATTCATTGGAAAATTACAATTAGGTACTAATTTGTGTAGATTTAATGAAAAAAAAATGCTACAGTAATTTCAGAGGGTCCTGATTAGTTCCACTATGCAGTTTTAAAACAAACCTAAATGTAGACTGTAGAGGGGATATTGGATCGAGAGATGGAGAAATTTCGACGTCCATCGGGGGAAAGAGGCGGAGGTGGGAGGAGGCAGACTGGGAGCGCGGCCGGGCCGGCGGCGGCGGCGGCGGCGGCGGCGGCGGCGGCGGCGGCGGCGGCG